GGGGGGGGGGGTGAGCGAGCGGGAGGCGCGCCGTGGATGCAAGAAACCTCGAAACTGAGGAGACCCGTCCTACGCAGCCATGAGAGAAGAGGCCTGTGTATGTGAATCCGCATTTCTATAACAGTGCTGGAAACAGAAAAGAAAAGGTATTGCTATTTATTTGCTGGCGAGAACAAATTGTAGGTGTTTTATGTAAAGGAAAATGCCATGCAAATAAAACAATAATTGGTTATAATTTAATGAGCAGTACATTCTTAATGATAACTCAATGACGAGCGGCTGTCAATAGTTTACTTCTAGGCAGATTTCTTTCTGTGTAAAGAAAGGAGGGTACATAGAGAATTAAGGATGAAACATCTTTTTTATTTTCATTAATCTAGAAATTGACGAGAACCGTTCTTCCCAGTCACGAGAAAAGAGATATGTGTATGTGAATCCACATTTCAATAACAGTGCTGGAAGCAAAGCAGAAAAGGTCTTGGCAGTGCAAATTTTTGCTTTTATTTGCTGAGGGAGAACAAATTGTAGGTGCTTTATTTAAAGGAAAATGTGAAAATGAAACAATAGTTGGTTATAATTTAATTAGGAATACATTCTTAATGAAAACTTAATGACGAGCGGTAGTCAAACGTTTACTTCTAGGCTGATTTCTTTCTGTGTAAAGAAAAGGAGGGTACATAATGAATTAAGGATGAAACACCTTTCTTATTTTTATTTTATTTTCAGATTCTGGCAAAGGGTTAAGGGCAAACTATGTTTTTTTATTTTCATTTTGTTTTCGGATTTGAGGAGTTTATTGTGCAATATACATATTTTTACAAAACTCCACTGAGTTCTTCATTTGTGGATCGATGGTTTCTGAATGTGAATGCACGCAGAAAAAATAAAAATGCATTTCTGTTTGTCTGTCATACATATGGATTGTGGAAGGCGTGTGAGAACTTCCATACACATTTCATGCTTTCTATTGAGGTATACTCCGCTCCTACATTTTATAAATAAATAATTTTAAGTATGTTTATGTTTTTAATTGTCAATTTTGAATTTCAAAAAGTGTTTCAAACATCCTTGATTAATGAAAATCGCAAACAATCATTACAATTACCATTCTAACTCAATTTGCTATGATTATTTTGGATACTGAATGGAAAGATATTAATTGAATAGATAAGAATGTAAATAATTACTCAAGACATACGCGCTTTCTTGCACTAAACTTGGGAGAAATACAAATGTGTCAAATACAATTGATTTTCTGCGCAGCCTTTGACCCTATAATGCTTCTGATTAAAGGGTATTTTACATGATCACGATTGTATTGAAATATTTCTGATACAACTAATTCGAATTTCTTACTTATAAATGTTATTTTCTATTATGTGTTATAAATTCAAATATATAAAATATTGATACCTGACAATATCTCTATTTATTTATCAAAATAAAAAAGGTATCTACTTCACCAACAATCCAATTAATAAATTCAAAGATTAACATGCAAATCTTTCCATACGGAACTTCTGTGTTTCACGACGCAGTAGTACAGACCGACCAGTCTTAAACACCCTTGAAGAAGGGAAGCGTGAGTGCAGCGTCTGAACTCCTCCACAAAGAAGCTGGGCGCTGTAAGTCTTCATATCTTCCCTCATAAATCCGCCCAGAAATTATTTCCCGCTTCAGCGGCATCCGGCATCTAAACGAAGAGTTACGGCTTCGTTTATAATTTAGAGCGCATCACAAGGCAGTGGATAGAGACGTTCTCGTAAAAAGAACAGCACTTGGCTTTGCAACGCGCGTATGGTCGCGGAATGAGACTTGGAATTCGGAAGTTGAAGTGCGTTGGGCGTCGGCATGAAACATTCAGCTAGCGGTAAAGTGGGCAAATGGTATCTGTCCGTTGCCATCCTTGGGGCCGGCGCCGCGCCCTGCTTGCGGGCCGGTGGTCTCTTTTGTCTGGAGTGCGAATTACGCAAACGAGTGCGGCCGTGGCCGGCTCCGGGGTTTACGACGGCATAAACTCACCCTACTGCCACTGTCCCTTTGCCAGAAGGGCTGCTGCGGAGAGTCGGTAGGCGTTCACTGGATCAGTGTCAGAGGACAGCGAAGCAGATGTTTGAGACTAGAAGGAGGTTCGAGCAACTGCTTGAGGCGTCCGTTTTGTGCGAAAAGCGGTGGTCGTGAAATGTATATGTGCACGTGAGGAGCTCATTACTGAGATTATTTCAAAATTTGCAGAAACTTGTCGCAGTTTAGAGGTTGCAGAGGGAAAGCTAGTGATTGTTGAGGGACGCTAATGAGTTATATTGTCCTTGAGCTCGTGGAAGCTAGGAATTGTGCAGTACTATTCTCATGCTACTTGCGATTTTAGTAAATGAAAGCGAAAATAGTAACATTATTTTGTGTGCTACATCGCATCCACCAGTGGGCCTAAATATCTCTCTGTTGCTATACATATTTTACTCGGGAGAGGTTTAGCTTGCGAGGTCACAGCATTCCATGTGAATCTTGTTCTAATTGTTCTTACTGTTCAGTTTCATTTGTCCACTTGCACCGGCATTCAGAAGGTTGCAGTTTAAAACATGTTTTCATGATATACCTTTTACTGAGAGCAGCAAGCTCTGTGTATTGTTTGCAAACAAAAATAAAATAAAGTTGTGAGTGTAATGAGCCGACCTGGACGGCAGAGGTGGTTAAGGGCGTGTACCAACTCGGCGCTTCGGTCCCAAGGGTAAGGGCTTCGAGTCCCGCCTTGGGCATGGTTGTGTGTCCCGTGTCTCTCATGTGTGTTGTCGCGGAGAGTCTTGGGTTCTGCCCGAGTTCAGAGGAGCTCGCAAGTGCGTTGTGTATGGTCGAATATACGTCCCATCAGGCTCTCGGCTGGATAAAAGCCCTAATGAAAAAAAGTAAGTATAATGAACCCAGGGAGGTATTGAAAGGGTGGACATGTCTGCAACGGGAAATTCAATTTGTACTACCACATAGTTTCAGTTACGAACATTATTTTCTTTTAAAAATAAACAGACAGACTTGGTGCAAATTATGAACGTAGGCCAGTGAGATGTTAATTCTGAAACCGGTTGGCAATCACGCACGCAGTCTGTTGGTTGCGTGCACCTCGCGTGGAGGCGCGGCCCCGGGGCTTTGCCCTGTCTCGCCGGCTGCTTCCGGCGCTCGCCGCGTGGGTGCGCTCGGTGCGCGGCGCCGAGTCGCGCTTTGACGTTTCGCAAGAAAAACGTTTCCTCTGGGGGCGCGCACGGCGCGCGGGAGATGGCGCTCGGCTGGCTGTCGGCTGCGCACGCACGCTTGTAGCTCCACGGCGCGATGGAAACGTGTGCCTGGGAATGTGAATCTCGGAAAGTATTATTTGCGGGGATACACTTTTTCTTTTCGTTTCAAAACAGAACCTAGTGTGCGGTATTAGTCGATTTCAAGGGAAAGATGTTGAGCAAGTTGTAGAAGAGGATTGTGATTATGTCAAATTACTTTTAAAGACTATGCGTTATGCTGTAAAACTGTGATGGTATGAGGTACGTTCGGTAATGTGTGATTTGTTTTGTAAAAGAAGCGAACGTCTCTTGAATCTGAAAGAAATTTAAGTATTTTTTGACTTTACCTTCACTTGCATTTTGTTTCGGCAAATTTGAGCGATGACCCTGCTAGCTTTGTTGGTGTTTTATGATAATTGTGTTCGTTTTCGTAAAGCTGGAAGGTCGTTGTTCTGTGTTTATTTGAAGATCATTTTCGTGGCGCTAATTGATACGTGGCTTGGCACAGAAACTTAAATCAATTTTCGGTAACATTTGCAAGAGAATTTGAATTCGTCGAAAACTAATTTGAGGTTTCTCGGAAGAGAATTTCTTTGATGTTTCACTTTATAGTTTGATTTTCTGCAAGTAAGAAAAAATAAAATATTGAAGTAGGAAGCTTTACGTTCAAAACCAGTGAATTGCATAGAACGAAACACATCAAGTTCAGAAATCCATTTGAAGGTTTGTGACAATACGTGGTAGCATTTCATAGGAATTCCAATTATGAGATTTCACTCAACGCTGTCGACTTCTGTCGGACTGTGCGACGCAGCGAGTGTTCTAGCGCGCTTGACGTGGCCCACTTCAACCTAGACGACGACGGCGGCGGCGGCTCTGGAAATGGGTTTTCGATCTCGCCCGGAGCAGCGGCGGCGGAGCCCCGCGGGGGCG